ATTATTATGTATAAGGGTTAGTCCACTGACTTTCGTCTAATAGTGGTTGCGACCAAATTTTAAAAAAATCTAGTTTTATTATATGTGAAACTCGATGATTCCCTGAGTTCATTAACCCTAATATTATTGTAAAAATTTTATTCCCTTTAAAAATATTAAATATCAAAAGTAGGAGGTTCACAATGTGATTTTGTAACCTAAAATTTTTCAATTTTTTTAAAAACGCTATTATTAAAAAACTATTAAAAATTAGATGTTGGAACCATGGAGTAGTATAAGGAGACCCGACGGCCATGAGAATTTGACAAGCATCGTGGACTGATTTTCGGTTTTCTAATTCACAGCGTTTGTCAAAAATGCTCAGCTAGCGCTCCTCGCGGAAAAAATAAGTACTGCGTATATTCAAAATTTTATAACCAAACAAATTTGTTTTATTTTACAATGTCATCATGGCAGTGTCTCTGTGCATATATTAATTTTTTTGTGAAATTGTTATTTGTCAAAAATTTGTTTTGTGTAAGTGTTAAAATGCCTCCAGTTTGTGTTGTCGAGAATTGTTTAATGTCTGTGTTGTTGAAGGCGGGAAAGAAAATTTCTCTTTTCAAAGCAAAGGTTTTTTTTTTTTTTTCAAATTAAAAAATTGTCATGAAATTAGTACATGACAATATTATTTATAGATAAAATATTTAATTAATGTGTTAGGAAAATGCGATAGAAGCCTGGCAAAAAGTGGTGCCGACAAAAGCCGATAAAGTTTTGACCAGGACTCATAATATTTGTGAGCTTCATTTTCATGCAAATGACATTGAAAGAAGTTACAAAACAATAATAAACGGTCAAGTTCACGAAATACCGAGAGGTAAAGCAACTTTAAAGGAAGGAGTTGTGCCTTCAATTTTTCCATACAATCCAAACGAATTAATTGTTTATTCGGAGATTTTTAAAAAAAGGCAGGTGATTAAGCTACCTTCTAAAAGATGGTCGATAGTTCGCACACCCGAATTCATTGTATGGATGAATTGGATAAATGACAATGCTCATTCTGATAGACGAATTATATTGTACCCAGACATGACAATAAAGGTATGTAATCGCTTAATATTTTTTGTCAAAAATGAGAAGCCTTTTATCCTGAATATTTTTAATACAAAAAATTCTCTTCATGTTAATAATAGAAATTATGTACTATATTAAATTTTATTTTTATTATTTTTATTATTACTCAGGTATGTATTTAATAAATTTATTAATAATTAAGGTGTTTATTTTTGGAAATGAGGTAAAAGAAAGCATTATGTATGTAAAAACTATTGGTGATTTAAATGTACTTTTTGAAGAAGTAGAGAAGCGTTTTCCTTGTGGCAGTTTTGGTTCCTACAGGTATACTACAAAATTAATTATAAAAATTATGTTACATAAATATAATTTTTTTATAATTATTTAATTATTTTATTTTACTCGCAGATCTGATGATTGTATAGGTTGTATAAGGCAAAAAGAGAAACATGAAAGAGGATTTATAATAGGTTAATTCTTTCTTTCTCACTGGACACATATATTTCACTTATAATTATACACGAAATATTTTAAATATTTTATATAATTATTTAATGCTTTTAAATAATAAACAAACCATTTTTGTTTCTAATATGTCATGAACATAACATTGTAGCAGACGACATTTATTGCCTCCTTTCTCCGCGAGGAGCGCTAGCTGAGCATTTTTGACAAACGCTGTGAATTAGAAAACCGAAAATCAGTCCACTATGAATGTATGTCGTCGGGTCTCCTTATACTACTCCATGGTTGGAACTCACCAAAAACATAAATCACTTTATTCTGCACAGAGGAACTAAAGAATTATTGCAAAAAATTATTATTTTTGGATGCTATACGATTTTAAAAAAAATTTTATTTAAATACTCTCAAGATTTTTATTTACTTATAACTTTTTTGTCGGTGCTCCGAAAAAATTGAGGTTTTGCACAAAGATTTTTTATAATATTCTTTACCTTCTATTAAAATCTTACGAAGGTGTTTTGCTTCGTTTTGGAGATATTAATTTTCAAAATTTTTTATTTAAAAAGGTTAATTAAAAGACTTGAAGTTAACTAATTAAATTCAAACTGCTCCATTTTGTATGTAAAATTTAAAAAACTCTAAAATTTTTATACATCACATAGTCTTATTGTTTTTTCTTTATATAAGCAATACAGTTTTTAAATCCTCCTTAGTCGCAAGTTATCAAATCAATTTTGTACTTATATTCCCATGTTAGGGTAGCGTAATGGTTAGCGTATTAGCCTGTGGAGCGATATTGCTATAGAACAGTTGAAATTTGACACTGTTCTAACTATGTTTATTTTAGAGTTTCCTTTTTCTATTACATCAAGTTTTAATATTTTTATTAAGAATAAAAATATTTTGCATGTATTTTTAGGTAATAATCATGCGATAATAGTTATGTACCATTTTATAGTTGTTACAAAACAGTTGTCGAACTGTTACAAATAAATTTGTAACTATATTCTAGATCTGTTACAGAATCTTACATATCCGCTAAGTACGACATTTTGCGTAACCAGTGACTCACAGGTTCATAACCAGTTACAGAACATGTTCTAAAAAAAGTAACAGTTCTATAACTGAAGTTGGAAAAACTTCAATGTGTGACATAAGACAGGTGTAACATACTACTAGTGTGACATATGACAGGTGAAACATACTACTCTGCCGTGTTAAACAAAAACTTACGTAAGTGACATTGTTGTTTTGGTCGGTATTTCAGTAGTAAAATGCACCAAAATCAGCCTAAGCGACAATGGCACTTACGTAAGTTTTTGTTTAACACGGCAGTACTGGTGTGACATATGTGTCATACTATTGGTGTGAAATGGGTGACATATTACTGGTGTGACATGTGTGACATATATGACCTGTGACAGGTGTAACATGTGACAGGTGTGACATAAGACACTTGTGACATGTGACATGTATATCCTTTTTATAATAGGATAATAGGATTTATAATAGGATAGGATTAATTTTAACTTTATTTTTTTGTAACAAAGTTCTATATTTGTTACATATGTGTTATATAAGAAGTTGTTACTGGATTTAAAAAATTTGTAATTGATTTATATAATCGTTACATATCTATTATAAATTACTAGTAACAGTGTTATGTATTTGATACATATCTGTTACAGAGATCACAGCTGACATTTATCGTATCCTGTTTGTAACATGCTTGTTAAATGCTTGTTTCATGTTACAAGCTTGTGACAGAACGTGTTCATTTTGTTATATAACAAATATATAACCATTACGTATTCGTATTTGCTGGGTAAGTTGTAATATTCAGAAGAAACTGCAATTTGATATCTTTATTTTGAAAAAAATACCAATAATTTGTTTAAACAATTTTTTTTTTTAACTTTTTTTAACAAATTTTTTCTCAGTAAAAATATCAATTTCTCGATAAAATATAACCTATGCGAAAAATATTGATAAAATCATTTGAAACACTTATGAACATGAGGCATTTTATGTGTAATGTCCTGAGGTAAAAAATTGAAGTCTAGAAAAAAGTGAAACTTGGGAAAATTGTTGTCCTACCAAATAGTAAAATATCCCCAAAAAAATTTTTGATTTTTTTTAAATTTTGGGGGAGATAGAGGGGGGGTCCATTTTATCAGTTTTCCCTGACACCGCCTACTGTTTGAATTTTTTTCTGTTTATAAATGCAATAAAAAAAACTTGTCAGGCATATTTTTGAAGGTTTTTTCATGCTCTTTCCAATGGTGAATTTCGTTTTTTAAATTTTTTGAATTTTGACCTTGATATTCTGTAATTAAACATAAATTTGCTATTTTCACTAAAATCGATGCGTTTTTTAAATAAATAATTGCAAACGAAAGCTGAGGTTTTTTCTGATCAGTATAAAAATTTTCAGAATGCCGATTTTTTTTTGTTTTCAAGATATTAACTATCAAAGATTTTATGTCGGCGCGCGGGCGAGGCTGTCGATTTCTTCCTCCTCTCTGTAGCTGTTTACAAAATTTTTTTTATTGCATTTATAGACAGAAAAAATTCAAATAGTAGGCGGTGTCTGGGAAAACTGATAAAATTGACCTTTCTCTATCTCCCCCAAAATTTCAAAAAAGTCAAAAATTTTTTTGGGGATACTTTACTATCAGGTAGGACAACAATTTCCTCAAGTTTCACTTTTTTTCGAGAAATCAATTTTTTAACTCAGGACATTACACTAAAATGCCTCACATGTATTTTACCTTTTTTTGCATTTATGGGGTTTTTAGCTGCCTTGTAAAAATAGTTAATTTAATGTTTTTTAAAATTATTATTATTATTAGAACTTCATAATTTCAACACTCCTAAAGAAAAATATTGTTGGCCGATTAAAAAATATTAAGTTTTAACGAAATTATTGCAAGTTTACGAAAAAGCTGCTTCTCCCCATATAAAATACATAGAAAATTTCAAGGGCCTTGCGGCACCATTAAATATTAACCGATTTTAAAATAAAAAAATCAGAAAAAGAACCAGGCGCAAAGCGCCTACATCTAAGGTTTTGATGCTTTTTAAATTCAGATCAAAAGTTATTTGTATAAAATAAATAATTTATAATTACATTATTTGTAAATTGCTATGGTTCCTATGGAAACAGTTGTCATGGTAAAGCTGCTCGCACAAGAAAAGACGGAGCAGTGTGCAGGATGTGTTTCAAATGAGATAGAAAAAGACAGGAATATTGCTCTTTCTTTTTCTATCTCATTTGAAACACATCCTGCACACTGCTCCGTCTTTTCTTGTGCGAGCACCCTTAGGGTTGCCATGGAAACCGTACGAGTGTACGACGGACGGACGGACAGACAGATGGATGACGGACGATTGCTGTGGTATCTGTTTCCATGGCAACCATACAAGTGTACGACGATATTGGTATGTCACGATACATAAATATGAATATGAAAATTTACCTTGCGTGTTTGTAGATTACTTAATCCGTGATCTTGACACAAAGAAATTAAGGATTCATTACTGCGACTGCTACCAAATCTTGTAGAGCTTGCCAAAGTAGGAGCTGGAGGAGGAGGATTTTTTGGCCGTTGTAGTGTAGAGGTATTTATTTTCTCCAAACCTTCAAAATATTTAGCACGTAATCAGAATTATGTAAATAAACGCAAAATAAAAATACAATAAACAATGAAAAAATGTATTTAAGGGATACCACATATTTTTTCAAAAAAATCGACTTTCTAAAAACTGCAGATTCTTGTAGTAGATATATGTAGAAATGATATGGAAACTATTATTCTGGTTGGAAACTTCGGTAACATATCGAAAGAGGGATACAATGTAAAAATCACGCGCCCTCGGAGCGTACTCTGCGCGCGCACAATGTATGCTTTTATATATGGGGTAAAATTCCTGTAGTGTACTAAGTGAACAAAAAGTTAATTGGATCGGGCTGTAACTTGCAAATAGTTTAGCCCTATGGGTGAGTACTTTAACCACGAACTATTGTTAGGATTTTTCAAAAGCTTTTGGAGAGGGAGGGGGTTGAAATTTTTTGAATAATTTAAACAGTGAATTTTTGAAGACTTGTAACTTTTAAACAGAAAGAAGAAAAAAAATTTGTCCCATATGTTTTCGAAAGGTTTCTTCCTGCTCTTTCGAATGGTGCAAAAATATTTTCAAAAAATTCAAATTTTGACCCTTTTTTTGAAAGTTATTTTCGAGATATTTATTAATTAATTAATGTTAATAAAAAATGATATATTTTATAAACAAATAAAGTTATCGTAATTCTGACGTTACTAAATGAAAGTTGACATAATTCCGCATTTTACGAGCCGTGTATGAAGTACTTTGGATTAGTGGATTAGTGATTTACAATTGGCTAACATTGCAATTCTTTATAAATAATCCTATAATCCAAAATAGTTAATATATGGCTCGTCGGATGAGAAATTACATCAGCTTTCTTTTGATAGCTTCAGAATTGCAATTACTTTATTTATTTATAAAATATTCAATTTTTTATTAACATAAATTAATTCAAATCTCTATAATAATAAAAAAGGACATCTCAATATTTTCTGTGGTGAAAATACACATTTTTAGCTGTCAAAAAAAATAAAAAAAAGACCGAACTTAAAAAAAAGTCAAAAATATTTTTGATTTTCAAAAAAGGGTCAAATTTTGAATTTTTTGAAAATTTTCTTACACCATTCGAAAGAGCAGGAAAAAATCTTTCGAAAACAAATAGGTCAAATTTTTGTCATCTTTCTGTTTAAAAGTTAAAAGTCTTCAAAATTTCACTGTTTAAATTTTTCAAAAAAATTTAACCCCCTCTAGTGACTTTTACCTACTTCGTCAGACATTTTAGTTTTTATTTCTCTTTCTATCGTGTTAATTAAGGAAAGTTGAAAAGAAAAATGGTTGTCAGAAGTAGGTAAACTCCAAATGGCGTATTGAAGTATGGCGTATTGGCCAATCCCAATACGTTCCTATCGTAATATTCTCATTTATTTATCATGTAATATTATAAAATGATTTTGTCAATGCTGTGTTTATAAATAATTGTTATTGACGTCTGAAAACTGGTGTCCTTAGATGGACAGTCTAATGCCCCAAGATGGATATCACATCTTAATTTCTTTATTTCATTTGTTTTTAATTTTATAGCCTTTTAACCTTTATGGGACAGAGGAAAAAAAGATCTTCTATGGGCGGACGCGGCACCCGAGTACCTATATTTAATTTATTGAAGATTTTGTATTAAAATAAGCAGTTCAATTAACTTTAAGTGTAGTAGACATTTCAATGAAAGTAATAATCACATAATATGAATACACTGTAAAAGAAAGTCTTAATTTAAGGCCGAAAAGAGGTCTTATCTTATTTTAATGGGGCGCCTACTATAGAAAGTCAAAAAATGAGTAAATTTCAGGAATTTTTTTTCTGAAACACATTGAAATAAATTGATGCGAGATTTTGTGGATGTTTTCTTATATATTTAAGCCTTTGAAATATAATTTTTTCATTAAAAAAATAAAATTTAATAATAAAATTAATCTCATATATCATTAATTATTTCACATAGATTTTTACATTTTTCATTTTTCGTACTCTCAGATATCAGACTAATAATTTTTTTAATAAGATTTAATTCATTATTCGTATATACACTTTTAACATTTATTTTGTCATTAAATTCTGCATCACAATACACACCATCATCTTCGATTTCATCTGAATTTTCATTTTCTTCATTGTCGTCTTCTTCTTCTTCTTCGTCATATATTCTTCTTATTTTATTTTAAAAAATTAATATTTTAATAAAAAAATATTATTGTTAAAAAAAATTGGAAAAAAATTAATTTTAAACATAAATAATGGTAAAAAAATGAATTATTTCATCAAAAAAATTTATTTATAAATCAAAAAAATTGGTGAAAATTTATTTTTTTTATCTAAAACATTGGTGACAAACATTTATTTCTTATCAAACAAAAATATTTTATTTAAAAAAATTAATATTTTCATAAAAAATATTATTTTAGAAAAAAATTATTTTATTTTATCAAAAAAAATTTAAAGAAAATTAATTTTAAACTTAAATAATAGTGAAAAAATGTATTATTTCATCAAAAAAATTGATGTATTAATAAAAATTATTGGTAAAAAATACATTTTTCAATAAAAATATTGTCGGCAGTATGAAGTATGAGTGTGTATTATAAAGAGTGGGGACTATTGCACAGTCCTTTAAAACTAATGCATAAGCAGCTGTGGTCAGATTAATTAGTCGCTACTCAAAGTGATAGCACGGTTAGTAAATTGTCTTCCAAAAAGACTCAGTAAAGCTTTGGAAGGATTGATTATCTTCAAGTTTTTGTACTTTGCTTGTTAAATAAATAAAGTAGAGTTTGTTCTCAGTTGAGTAACCAACTCACAAAAATAATATTATTAGTTTTTCTTACGGCGACAACATAATTGGTGGAAGCGGTGAAATATTTAAAATTATTTGGAAGTTCATCCAAACTCTAAATATGCAGAACCAAGAACTAGTTCCAGATAAACAAAGTGATCATTGAAAGTGAACGAGAGAATCAACAAAAGAGATATCCAGATCTACAAAGACGTATCCTGAGAGTTATCCAAGTCTACGAAGTGTTATCCAGAGTGTTAACCAAGCAGCGATCCAGATATTCATATCTACGAAGTGTTATCCAGAGTGTTAGCCAATCAGCGATACAGATATCCAGGTCTACAGAGAGGTATCCAGAGAGTTATCCAAATATACGAAACAGAATTCGAGATTTTCCAGTACTACGATCCAGATCAACATTCAAAAGCAAAATTGAAGTAAGGTATATAAAAGAAAACTACGAATCTTTAGAACAAGAGTATAAGTCCACTTTACGTACGTTGAACGGCGACCTTCATAGGGTGTGGCTAAGTTTGTTTTAAAGCGTTGGTATACTCCGTGATTTTATCAGTATTTTCATCGTCAATAAACAAAAAAACAAATTTCATATTCTTGTGTACTCCTTGTAGCAGCACATTCTTAAGAAATATAAGAAGAAGAATTTGAAATTAGAATCCGTCCTCAGAAACCGAAAACTCTGAATGAATGTTTTAATATTGCCTCAGAAATTAACGTGAATATAAAAGATAAAAGAAGAATAGAAAATTTCACAAGATACCCAAGAAATGAGAACCCAGTTCCAAAACCAAGATTTAGTAAACAGACAAATATAGAAAAATGCAACCAATGCAAAAATGTAGGACATACAGAAGATGTCTGCAGAGGAAAATACAGAGGTTTACCACCATGTCAAGAGAAAACTCAAAATTTTCAGTCACGATCGATCAACAGCAAACCACTAGACCGAGTGCAGCTAAGCGAAGAATTTTCTTTATCGGAGAACCCGCTAAGCACAACCTTCCACCGATTCCGAGAGAACAATGAAGACACGACATACCTATTGCGGCTTTAACATTTGATAAATTAAAATTGAGAAAATTTGTAGTTGATACAGGATCGAATATATCAATCATAAAAAACAGTATGTTAGAAGGAAAAAACTTTAAAACATACGCTCCTCACAATGTTTTAACAATAGGAAACAATCCCGTAACATTTGAATATTCTATTTGTTTAAAACTTTATGGTGAAGAATCAGTTTTTCAAGTTATGAAAGATGAAAATGCATTTAGAGAAAATGGTTTAATTGGAATGAATTTACTTTACAATCAAAATTTTAAAGTTGACTTAGAAAAAGGTATTTTAAACTTAGGACCTAAAATACTTCATCCACAACCTAGTGCAGATAAGAAAGATAAAATCTGTTTTATTAACTTTGAAGGAGGATATTCAACAGTCACAAAATATGATTATCAAGGAAAACCAATTTTACCACCTAATACAGCAAAAATTGAAAGTATGTACGATGCTTATGAAGACTTATGGATAGATTCTATAAAAAAATTGACTGACGAAAAAATGTACCAATTTATCAATAATGAAAGAATTATTATCTAAAACACGACTAGACCATATCAAAGAAGGAAAAGAAGACTTACTAAAAATCATAACAGAATTTCACGACATTTTTCAATTAGGAAACGATCCTTTACCTTTAACTAAATTAACTGAGCATACAATTAGAACAACACACGATGAACCTGTAAATACAAAACAATATAGATATCCACCTATGTTACAAGAAGAAGTTTACCAACAAATTAAAGAAATGTTAAAGAAAAATATACTTCGAGAAAGTATGTCTCCTTTCAATTCACTATTATGGATAGTCCCAAAAAAGAAAGACGCTTCAGGCAAATTAAAATGTCGAATTGTTATAAATTATCGAAAACTAAATGAAAAAACCATCTTAGACAAATATCCTTTACCATGTATTGATGAGATAATTCAACAGTTAGGAAATTCTAAATTCTTTTCTTGTTTTGATCTTGCTTCCGGATTTCATCAAATAGGAATGAATCCCAAGGACAAAGAAAAAACAGCTTTTAGTACAAACGAAGGTCATTATGAATATAATAGAATGCCTTTTGGTTTAAAAAATGCCCCTCCAACATTTCAAAGAATGATAAATAATGGATTAAAAG